TCGGTTCCTCTCCTCCAAGTGTTTATCTATCTCTTCTTATTTTTTTTTTTTCAGTTTCTTTTTAATTTTATTATACGGCGCCATCACAAGCGGCAATCGGTGCCAATGCGGATTACTTCAAGTGTTGTTTTGATATCGATTAGCATTTGAAAGAGATCCCTTTGGCGCCTTGACACTAACAGCGTCGGATCATTTATTTCATAATTAGCCGCTTTGATTAAACGGCGTGAAAGTGAAATTCATAACTTGAAAAAGGAAAAAAAAAAAATATGACTATTTGGCGGCGATTTCAACAAGAGCATTGGAACTCCACAAATTGCATATTTATGTAGAATTTTTTATAAATATCTCAAGTTATAGTCATAACAACCTTTTAATTTACTCATTTCTATATATTTTTTAATATCATATTTTGAAAATAAAATGTAATTTAAAAAAAAATCGTTGTTGATTGCTCGAATTTGCAATTAGTAGTTGTAACGATTAGTCTACAGCCATGGAGCGTAAAAAAAAAAATTAATATTTTTTTCTGTCAGAAAACATTATGTATTACCAATGTTACATTAATAATTTATTTATTCATTAATTATTTTTTTCATTGAGCTCTTGAAGTCTAGTAGACATTCTTGCGCGATTTGTCTATAGACCGCATAGAGACATAATCGGGAGACCTTAGGCCTGCGTTTTTTTTGGTCTCTCAACTAAGTAGACCAACTGAGACATGTCTCAGAGACAAAAATCGCGAAACATGTCTTCTAGTCTAGTTTCGTTTAGTCTAGTTGGACTAGGCTTAAGACTAAACCTTTTTTAAGGGTCTGATTCAGGATGGAAAACAAATGTATTTAAATGATATCGGTTTTATTTTTAAAAGTTCTGTCGCAAAACCGCTTTTAAATATTACAATCAAAGATCTTGTGATTCGGTAATCGTTAGGGTACTATAGAATATATGCAATATTCAAACCTACGAGGGCTACCGTATAATGATCAATACATTTTTGAATACAATTTGTTGAATAATTGGAAAAATCTATATGTATACAAATGGGTTTTTGTAAATAAGTTTTAGACTTTTTAATGTCTCAGAATTTAATAATATAAATCGTAGTAATGTATAAAAATATTAATTAAAAATGTTTATGTTTAAGTCGTTAAACAGAAAAAACAACTAAATTTTATTTATTTAAAAAAAATGTTTTATTTTCAGTTAATATTTCTTTCCAGTTTGTTTTTTTATTGGTTAAGATGATAGGTCAGAAACGACTGGGATAGATAAGAATTTAATGGAAAGTAATCATGTTCTTCTCTATGTGCTGTCATCTAGCCAATAAACGTTAACGATTTTATACAGGATAAGTATGTCGTTGTATAAGGTCTAATCTGTAAACATACTTTTATAAATGGTACTTTAAAAAGAGCAACCTAGAAAAAGATAAGTCTCACAAATTTTATGTGTTGTTAAATTTACCAAAAGTAAAAGAATCCATAAAGAGGGGAATAAAATTTGATGACTCGTTATAGTACTTAACTGAACACGGAATTTAATCTTAATTCCCGCCGGACCCTTGGTGATGGCAACATATAGGTATAAATTGGATTTTAATCTAGGTTTAGAAGAAAAAAAAATTAATTTAAACAGAATAAAGGTTGGATTAGAAAAACCTTTAAATGTATACATTTAAGATACAGTAAAATGTAACAGCAGAAACTTGGTTCAAATCAATCACATACCGATTGATTATATCATAAATTGTTTCAGTAATATCTAAACTATTTGAAATAATCCCAAAATATAAAAATACTTCCACAAATAAAATATTAGAAAAAGACCCTCACCCAGTAGCAGATTCGCGTTCTAATTTTGGGGAATAATTTTTTTTTCTAATATAACCTTATTTTTTATAATATATGAAAAGAAATCATATGAAATGATTTTCAAGTCGTCTTTGAAGGCAAGTTAAAACAAAAATAATCAATTAAAGGAATAACAACGGTTTTAGAGATAATTTTATATTTTTCTTATTTGAATTTAAATGTATTTAACGCTCGTTTTTTTCTAATGTCGCTATCATAATAAAATTTTATAACTTCATCCATAACTCTACAGTGTCAATTCAAACGGATATAGATCTTACCTTCCAACCCTTCGAATTTCATTAACAATAATAAACTTTTGCTGGTCTGATTATTTATTTTTTAAACACCCGAGTATGAAGTGTTTTTTTCCTCCTTGATCACATTGTTGGCTTCTATTATAAGGTTTCCTTATTTATAACTCCTTTAAGAATAGCCTCCCCCATTATAAGACATTAATGAAAACGTACTCCTGTGCATTTAGAGATCGTGCCCACATGTTTACACAAACAGCACCAAGCCTAATTATAGGTGACGAGCCACCTTGAACTATACTTTGCCAGAAATGTTACTATAAAAAGACTAGAAAACAAATATAGCACTCATTAGACGGAGAAAAAAATTGCAAGAATGCAAGCATGCAAGCAACTATTTGAACCATTTGAAAAACTACAGCAGTTATCGAAAGTAAAATATGATTAAATTGTGTTAATGCATTATTTACTATTTTATTCGCTTGTAGAATAGTAATTTGGAGTAATGATTGTTTTCATACTGGCTATTATTACTACTCGTTCTAAACCAGCTATTGAAAGATTACTATTGATCAACTGGCTAACACTGAAAAATATTAAATATTTTATTAAAACTTTATTTAATAAAACAAATTCTTCACCTATGGATAGTTTGATTATATCCATTATATATTTAAAATAAATAAAATATGTACAGTACGAAAATACATTTTAATCATAAATTTAGTTTAGTTACCACGTTCCTCATTTCCATTTGTTTCTTGAATAATAATATATCAATAAATAGTTGAAAAGGATCCAAGACCCGTGCGAGCAATGATTCTTTTATTCAAAACAGCTCTCGTTACTCCAAGTTGTGACATGTTTATTTATTTAAATATAATTTAAGGTAGTTTTATCCTGAATATTTCTTCATTGTTTATCAAAGAACAAATTTTGTACAGAATTATTATTTTTGAAAATAATAATTATAACCTTTAAAGTTATAATTATGAAGTATTTAACATACCGAAACGCGAGCTATTGATTATTTTTCAAGACTATTTTATAAACAATTTTTGAGACAAAAATTTAGCATTAAAATATATTTACTGATCTTTTTAAAAATTTGCTTGCACAGCAAATAATGTATTTTAAAAAAATGCAAACGTGTTCGGTTCTCCTCTGCCCTGCCCTTAGATCCATTGGAGCGTGTACTGTTCCTCTGATCACTCCACAGTGTCCGCCTTTCTGATGAAAGAGATTGGCATAACTCCAAGTGGTCTCCTGCCGTGGCTACTTGGAATAGCGGGCACAGTTGACTGTCAGAGATCCCTATCTCGTATTGGTCTTGTTGAATCTAGTCAATACAACATGGTCTTCACTTCTCTCCCAGTACTTGATTCATTCGTCTATTTCAGTCTTTGCAGCCAGCCATCAGCAACTCTTACATTGTTGAAGGAATTCGTTGGCGGAATTGCACGCTTTGTATCAGGGTTATCAAGAACAACGAGGAAATAATCCCACGAGAAAGAAATCACATTGTAGTAACATGTCTACATAAAAGTTTCATCTATTTAAAAATTTCCACCGAAAAATTAAACCCAAGGTTTGAAAATTTCATACTTATGAACCATGTGAAGATACAACAATAATATTCATGTTTGATAAAAAATAGTGAAATAAAATTCTACCCATATCTGCCTTTAATGGCATCTAAAGAAAGCATGGTCAAAACTGAGGGCCGATCCTGACTATTCATCAGGTGAACATTTCGAAGATAAATTGGCACTAGAGAGACAACCTCTGATTAATCTGTTATTTTTTGGTATACTTAGGTCGAGAGTATAGACATTTTTTAAGCAATGATAAAACGCAATAATTAAAAAAATATAAACGTAACAGCATAAATTATGTTTAAAATATTAGAAATTAAATATAAATACCATTATTGAAATGGATAGCTGTATCAATGATACTTAGATACAATTATGAGTTAGATACAATTAATTCTTCATACAAACGCTTTGAAAACCCCTATAAAGAAAAATTATTTTCATGTGTGTTTAGCGTACACAAAAAATAATATTTTAAATATCCTAAAAAATGATCATTTTCCATTGCCTTCTTAACGTTGTATATGATTCTACAGTACATGTACTCTAAAAAAAAAAGTTTTACTAAAGAAAATTGGTTAAAAATAATATAGAAATAAGTTAATGTAGAAATAACGTGTCATGGGAATGAGGAACAATAGTGAACTAAACGTATGTACAAATTATAATAAGCCGTGTCTTTGCCAATATAGGACCGAACTCAATGACTTTTTCGTCTATTATTATTATTTTATTTATTTTTTTTTTAGGTAGTTTACTAACAATATAAATAATGTTGGTTTTACTCTTTACTAAATAATCAAGTTGCTAGTTATAGGCATATAAAGTTCACTTTTCTTCATATTTTTTCGCTCATCATTTGGTTTGGGGGGGTTGTGAATATTTTTCTTACATGAAAGAATAGATAATATTTAAAAAAAATGGCTCAATTAAATGATTAAAGAAGAAATGGCGTACTGAAAAAAAAAATTAATATCTTTGAGAAATAATATATGCATCATATATAGTAACATAATATCACATCTACGTGAAATAAGGTTTTCTATTACATTATGTGTTACGTTTAGTTGATTTTTAAAAATGTGTCATTATTTCAACCAACACTTACTATTAGTCATATTGATCAACATAGCTAATCACGATAAAATCTCATATGTATCAATAAATTTGGTATTTTTATGTATCTATCTCTCCTCAACGGATATTCACGATACAGGTTTTTTTTTTATTCATGAAAAAAAAATAATCATATGTTTCACGGAATCAAATAATAAATAAGATTCAAACATATCATGGTCATGTTTGCTGAAGCTAAGCCGTTTACCTTAAGGCCAATATTGACGTCAAACATCGCTGGCGATCATCGTCTGAGGAGAATCATTAATGAATCTCTCGTTAGACTAGACGTGCTTTACCGATCATTAACGAAAAGCAGGGGAGGATCAGGTTTCTTGCCCGCCATATTCCAAATCGGGCCGACCCATCGAAGATATAAGAAATTAACGAGGTATAAAAAATTCCATGTATTGCAAGCCATAGGAGGCCGGACTCTCTTAAAGCAACTTCAGTCAATAACTCCTGGACTGGTAATTAAATGAAAATTGTTTTTACAGCCTCTGCAATGCTAGCGAAAAAATACGATAAATTATACTAAAATAACCATTCATTACTAGCCGTCTGGTATAAATAGAGTAACTGATAAGATTAGTATTTTTCAAAATGCAAATAGAATAGATATGAAGGCGGAAAACAAATGGCAAACTGTCGCCAATACTATTTCTATTGCATCAATTTAATTACATATAAATTAAATTTATACCATGTACATATCAGAAATTTTGTGAACATTATATATATATATATATATATATATATATATATATATATATATATATATATATATATAAATACTACTTTGATGTATGAAATTTATCTATCATCTATCTCTTTCTCTCTCACTCTCTCTCTCTCTCTCTATATATATATATATATATATATATATATATATATTTATTTATTTATTTTATGCTTAAATGCTTGCTTTACTTTTAGCTAGTGACCAAAAGTGTCCTTTATTATTGAACGATTATTGGAGTCGTAAGTGTTTATTTTGTTGAATATTGTATGTTTTAGGACATTTTATTGAACTGTTTAAAGTATTGTACTGTGTCTGACAATATAGTTATTATTGAGGCGTACCCAACCAAGTACCTACCGTGATTAACGTTATTTACCTTTATTACCTGTTGCAAGTGCTTTAGGCCGCGCAGCTTACAATAAGCGTTGCACAAAATAGTATTTTTGCAAGACCAAGACAAAGATTGCCTAACTTGCAAGACCATGACCAAGACCCGTAAAAAAAAAAAAAATCATTTTTGTGAATAAAAATTAAGCCAACATATTTACTAATACTTTACAATTTTAGTTACTATATGTTAAGAATTGGTATAAACAAAATAATTTTGCATTTAACTGTTCCAATTTATCATTTAGGTTTCCCCTACATGAAAAATTGCAGTAATATAGAGATATTACTATTAGCAATAAGCTAATAGATAAGTGTAAGACTGTTGCGAGACTCTTGCGCAAAACTAAGACCAAGACTCGTCTTTGGGCAACACTACTTATAATAAGAGTAAAAAGTATAAATCAAATTTTTTTTATTTTGTATGCGATTAATTTGAACTTATGTTAATAATAATAAAAGCGCAGGAGGTATAACTATTATACGGGTTAATTTTGTTTTCATGTTCTTGGGATGGGAGTGACCCTTCTCCGCTCACTTTCCTTGAATCCTTTAGCTTCGAAATGTGCAAATGATAAATAGTCAGGAAACGAAGCGATCGGAGCTCAGTTTCGACGATGTTCTCTTTATAGGCCATTAAAGACAGATATGGGTAGAATTTTATTTTACTAATGTTTATAAAACATGAATATTATTGTCGTATCTTCACAAGGTTCATAAGTATTGATTTGCATGAGTAAAAACCAATTTATTCTAAAAAGATTATATTTTTAATTTTTTTTTTTTTTATTGAGATTTACAACTGTATTACATGAAAAATACAATAAGTAAATGTGACATTGGTAAGATGACATGTAACACATGAAGATAAGCTACTCATTGGTAGAACAAATTAAATTTCTATATTAGAAGGTCCCGAGGCCATCCGTTTTTCAGACGCCTCGGAGGATTATCAGGGATCGAGGAGGAAGCAAGGTTTGAAACGAGAGGATTCGGATGGTTCTGCAGTTTTTTTATGGAAGAATAGGTATCTGGATTGGGCCAAATCGGAAACATATGGAACATTATGGTCTTTTTGGATGATTTTATTTGTGACAAAGTAAGGAGCGTTGAGGATTTTACGAAGGATTTTGGATTGTAAGGATTGGATACGAGAGGAATTCGATGGTTTAGTGGAGCCCCAAAGCTCAATTCCGTAAGTCCAAATTCGTCTTATTATTGTCATATATATGAGTCGTTTGTAATTGATTGAAAGCTTAGAGCGTTTGTCTAGTAAGTGCTGCAGTAGTCCAAAACGTCGGGCGGTTTCTAGTCGTTTCAGTCTAGTATGAGGATTCCAAGTGAGTCGTTTGTCAGAGGTGGAGTCCTAAGTATCGGATTTGTTGGACAGGGATAAGAGCGCTATTGTTGAAGGATACTGTAGGACAGTAAGTCATAGGTTTTCGGCGAAGAGTGAAGGTAATTTGGTGGGATTTATTGAAGTTTATTTTAATTCTCCAGTTTTGACAATATTTTTCAAGACTTGTGGTGTGATTGAAGCGTTTGGAATGCAATAGATGGATCGTTATTAACTGATAGGATACATGTGTCATCGCATTATGTGGTGATGACAGTGTTGGGACAGGTAGGGATGACAGCTGTATAAACTGTGTAAAGGATAGGAGCTAGGATAATATCTTGAGGAACACCGGCAGACTGAGTAAAAAGAGATGAATGAGCATTGTTATGATTGACTTTGAAGTGTCTGTCAGTAAGGTAGGAAGATTATATTTAAGCGATGGAATATAAATGAAAATGATTCGAAATTTATCTACTTGATTTATGCAACATTTGGACAATATCAAATAGATTTGATACAATTGTAGAGCTAATAAAAAAAATCTTTATTTCTCGGTTGTATTAATTTTCCGATAGAGCTATGAAGTTTTCCTCTATTCGCTTTCCTTTATAAATTCTCTTAGACTTAATTCGCTAACTTTGTAAAAAATTAATAATTTGTTTCATAAACTATTTAAAAGTAAATATTACTTATTTTTTTGTATGAATAATGTTAACTTAGTATCGTTGCATTTTCCTATCAGGTTAAAATTAATTCGTTTGCACTATCCTTGCCATTTTTTCCTACCTCAAATAACCAACTCGGTCACAGCCAATAAACTCCACGAGTATAGGTATAAAGAAAATTAAGTCAGGTTTAATGCATGGATTTTATTATTCAACTATAAGCGGGTAAAAGCCATTCCCTGACAGATAAGGAAACAAATTATGAGATATGGCCACGCGGAATTATTGAACCTTATATGGTTCGGCATTGGCAGGCAAATAATCAGTTGTTTATCGGACATTTGAAAACCTGTCGGCGACTTGAAGGAAAACGTTGCTGATAAATTTTATTACGGAAAAACATTTATAAAACTGATGTTCGAGTTTAAGCAGTTAGTTAATTTGTCTCCATGTAGGCCTATATACTTTGATGTATTGCTATATGGCTCTGTTTTAGTTTTTTTACCCTGCTCTATATCCATAAATGATTGCATTATATAATTTTAAATTAACTAAGATGCACTCAGAATCAGACATGCCCTACATGCAACATTACATTTACAAAACAACCGTAGCTTTCTTCCATTCTCGAGAACACTCATTAAATTCCTTGATAGCTGAAATAAGGAGATATAGAAAATATCTATACCCAAATATAAACATAAGAGAACGAACCATATTCTTTATTGTAAGTAGTATTTTTTTTTAACCAATAAATATAATCTATTTTGTAATATATATATATATATATATATATATATATATACATATATAAGAAGCGAAAAGGAAAAAATAGTCTATCGAGTTTTATTGAAGATATGGATTAAAATATCTCAGAAACTAAAAATCGGACCAGCATACTGTAACCGAGAGAATTGTTCAGCATTTCATTCTCTCTGTAATGGGTTATTATTTATAATTCATGTTTCATATTATTAATCTCAAGTTCATATTTCCATTTCTATCATGTGATCTAAAGCACACACCATATAGTCCGTGGTACAGACAGCTTTTTATCGAATTATTAACATCCGGCTGAAACTTCGTAAATATTTTCATTTTTTTGTAACCCACAACTATTTTATTTACGAAAACTTTTATTATCCGGGCTTATTCAATCTGGAGGGAGGAAAACTTTGTCTATTTAATTAGGTATTGAAAACTCGTAAATATCCATTTGCTTTCTACTAGAATCGCAAGATAATTTGATCACGAAATCGATAAATAAATATCAATATAAATATAAATATATATATCGATAAATAAAGTGGACTTCAAAAATATTAAGCCATTTGGCATGACCTACTCCCACCCTCAAATTTTCAAAATAACGATAGGACAAACTGACCAATATTTTTGAGAGCCACCTTTTTTATCGATTTTGTGATCAAATTATGTTTAGTTCCAAGCACAGGCGGATCTACGGAGGGGCTTTCGGGCTGAAGCCCCCCCCCCCAAAATGGTAAAATATAACCATGTTTTACAGAAAAAGATACTAAAAACTATCTCTTAAAGTATTCTTGTTCGTTTAATTACATTTAATAGGACTTCAAGAACCACTTAAACATCATTTTGTATAGGTAGTTAATTTATTTTTAATTAATCATTTTTATACGTATATGAAAACAAATCTTTCGGGCTGAAGCCCCCCCCCCAAAAATTAAATCCTGGATCCGCTAGTGTTTCCAAGTAGAAACGAAATGGGTATTTACGTGTTTTTAGTACCTAATTAAATAAACAAAGTTTGCACCTCTTCCAGATAGCAAACGCTCTAATTCCAAGAGTTTTCGTAAATAAAATAGTCTTAGGTTACGATGAGATGAAACTATTAACGAAGTTTCAGGCGGATATTAATAATTCGATAACAAAGAGTCTGTACTATGGACTAAAAGGTTTCTGCAGTTTTTCAAGATTTTCGTTTTGGAGTTTTCCAATAACTTTTAATATAAACCAAGTTAAAGGGAACAAGGCGATTCCTGAATTGCCCTTAATCTTTGACGAAAACGGAGACTTACGAAGGCGGAAAACAAAGAAATAAACCGTGAGATAGAATCGGACTTTTATTGATCGCTAATGATAGCTGATGTCGGATAATCTATGTACATACTGCGAGGAGAGACATAATGTGAATATAGGCGATGGACAAGGCAACCGCCTGATGTGGTAGATACATTGCTCCTATCAGTATCTTAATAGTTACTGTGGCGCCAGCCGAAGAT